ATCATAGAATCCCTATGAAATATTTGTCCGAAAAATGATACTGCTCCAATTTTTATCAACCATCTTTAAAAATAAATAGTTCTCTCTCTTTAATACACAAAATATTTATTCTAATTCAAAAGCTGATATTTTGCAGACCCAGGCCAGTAGCCGCACAACCTCTGTAGTTCCATCTCCCTTGAAGCTTATCCATCTGATATTTATTTAAACTGTTTACACTCAGACGACTCGGTTAGTCTCATGCCCTCATTAACTGGAAGTTCAATATTGCCACAAGTTCATCCAAAGTATTGGAAAATGTGGATGTTCATATCATAAAATTTTAAAATTTTATTATATAATTTCGCTAATCCTATTTTTTTAATATTTCTCTTTGTAAGGATAGTCTTTAAATAGAAAGAGTGGAACATATTAAAAATGTGAACTTTTAAAGAGGATTGAAACAAAATAATTAACAACATTATTATTAATAGTTAAATTGAAAAAAAAAGGGTGCAAAGCTTCTGTTGAAACTGGAACCAATTGAAAGGACAAGGGCACAGAGTTTTATCCTCGTTCCTCTATCTCTAGTTAATGACTCTTAATTCTTATAAAACTGTTTGTTTGATCTGATTTTTTTTCTGTCAGAGATGATCTTTGCTTTTCGTTTCCTACCATGGAAGGGACGAAATTTCTGCTGCTCGCGCATTTAGATTTCTCTGCTAATATTTGGGATTATCGGTTTTGATAGCAAGCAATGTTTTATCTTCAATATGTTTTCCATTTCAGTTGTTTCCCTAGCTTTCATTGTTTATGGGTTATTTTTAGTTTATGCACTCTTTTATTGAAATGGACTTCCGCTTGAAACGTGATCAAAATTTATGACCTAGAAACTCTTTATTGATGCATGTTGCTCTACTCTATTTTGCCAAGTTAACCAACAACAAACTGAAGACTTCTCTTTTTTGTTTGCTTTTAAGCAGGTTTTGTTTTAACATATAGATAGACACAAAAAATTTGGCTACTCATACTTTTGCTCATAGTGCTTTATAGGGTAGCTTTTTTGTTAAGGAAATGGGTAGTTCACATTTTCTTTTTTTTGTTAATTTTGAGCAGTCCCATCTTTCTGTTGGTTCGGGATAGTTTCCTATTGTAACCCTTTTATTTTATTGTAATGCAAATGCATATTTCAAGGGAGATGTACTGGAAGTTCTGTGACAAATATCATGATTTTTTATATTGGGGACAGGGTTTTCGATGTGATGATTCTGAGAAAAATGATACTAGAAATTGTAAAGAAATAATCTTATATGTTTGTTTATATGATTCATATGATATTGGATATATCAGTTATAATCATCACAATTTTTTTCAGGAAATCCAAACAAATTTATTGCTCAAAGGCATTACAACTTTTATGATTACCTTTTTATTTTTATTAATAGGATTCATAGTAGTTCCAATGAGATTTTAGAGACCACTTTTTGATGCGATTAAAAGCAAAAGAAATACTTTAAGGAGAGCCCTCTTGACATGTTGATACCGGACTTAACCCGAAAACACTACAAAGTTTTATTGCAAAAAACTTCAAATAATGGAATCACATAAATGTTCTTAAAACAGGAAAACAAAGAACACAAGCACCAACGAGCCCTTAGGGTGAGGGTGGAGGGGTGAATCTAACTGGACAGCGTGAGGATGTAGGTCTGAGGGTTTGCGGCAATAGGGGAGAGTGGCTGGAAGGGGTGCTGGTAGCTGGTGGAGTTGTAGGATGGTGTGTGGCAATAGCTGGGGTGCAGGAATGTCGATTGCAGGTGTTGGAACCTTCGACAGGGATTGGTAGTGGTAATTGGGATGTATGGGAAGCGGGCAACAACAACAGTAGGGTTTGGCAGGACCAGTGACAACGATAGTAGGGTGCGTATGGGAAGCAGGCGACAACAACAACACATAGAGAGAGGGATCGGCGGTCACATCAGCAAGGGGAGGGCGCATGGGTGGAAACAACAAGCAGGGGAGTTCGATGGGGCGAGGGGTTGGTCGAGGTTATCACCATCTTGGAGTAGGATACAACTGAGACGCCACTTGTCCTCAGATATAGCCTTAATAGGGAGAAGAATGCTTAGAGTCAAAAACTTGAAATCAACAACTAAAACCCTAGACAACAACACATTTATAATAGGAGAAATAAGCGAAGGGGGAAAGAGCGGTAGCTCCCGCCCATTAGAAAGCTGACTGGGCCAGCCTCCCTGTTGGATCGACACACCCAGGCTGAACCAGTCAGTTTAGCCAGCACCTAGCCCTGCGCTAGTCTCCCGATTCAGCTAGCACCTAATCCTGTGTTAATATCTCGGGGTCGGGGAAGCTTCGACTTCATTCATCAAAGCTTCTGAGTCCTTGTAGTACAGTGTCAAATCCGCAAAATTGAACTTAGTAGAAATATTATAGTCTCCTGGTAGGTCAACTTGTAAGCACTGTCATTCAGCTTTCGGAGTATCCTGAAAGCTCCATTTGCGCAGGGCTTGAGTTTTCTGAATACTCCCACTAGGAATCTTTCTTTCTTTAACTTGATCCACACTAGATTTTCTTTAGAGTCGTATTTTTCCTCTTCTTATTGGCTTGTGCCTGGTACTTGCAATTCTGCTTAGTGTTCTCTTTTCCAACTTCCTCATGGAGTTTTTGAATCTAGTGCACACGTTCATTCGCATTTTCACTAATCTCTGCCGTCAGTAGGAGCGATACAATTCTAGTAGAGTGAGCGGGTTGCCCTGCACACGATCTCAAGTGGAGTGTGACCTGTGATATGACTTACAGATTTGTTGTACGCAAACTCGGCCTGAGCGAGAATCAAATCCAACTGCTTGATATTTTCTATAAGGAAGCATCTAAATAGATTTCCAAGGCCCCTATTTGTTACCTCTGTCTGACCGTTCGTCTGAGAGTGAGCTGCGGAACTAAGTTGAAGCTTAATGCCTAATTTTTTCCCACAGAGTCTCCCAGAAGTGGCTCAAAAACTTGACATCCTTGTCTGAAGTGATGGTCACAGGCATCTCGTGCAGTCTCATACTTTCCTTGAAATATAAGTTGGTGATATGTGATGCATTCAGTGTTCGATTGCAGGTTATGAAATGCGTCTTCTTCAAGAATCAATCCACGATGACCATGACCATGACAGAATCGTGTTCTGTTATGTCCTTGGAAGTCCCACCATAAAATCCTTGCTAATGTCTACTCAGGGTGTATGCTTCTGACACTGGTAATGGGGTATAATCTCGCATTCTGCCCACAGGATTTTGCCATATGATAATTCCTTCATTATCTGGCGTGTCACTCCACATCTCTCACTAGTTGGGACCAAAATAAATGCTCTCACAAGTACGAGAGTCTTGCCCCTACCAAAATGTCCTATTAGTCCTCCCCTGTGGCCCTCCTGAATGATAGATTTCCACAACAAACAGCAACGGGAAAATTGAATATTATCGCGGAATTCAAAATAGAGAAATACAATCTCACAAACGAAAATAGAAATAGCAACAAGCACGACTCAATAAACTCAAACTATGGTGGATCTTAAGGTGGTGGTGGTAATTGACAAGGGTTTCATCCTCGGCAGAGGTAGCAAAGGGTGGGTGGGGGGCTGGAATTCATGGCAGCAACAATGGTGTGTGTTGGTAAACCTGAGAGGGAGGTTCAAAACTGTAGGAACAACAAATGTGGTTGCTGTCCTGGGCAGTGGTAGCAAGAAATAAGGGGCTGGGCAGCGGGGAAACGGCTGGGATGGGCTGTACTGGATTGCAGCAGCTAGAAAGGAGGACGGATTGAACATTTTAATTTGCACGGGTGACACACTCAACTAAGTCAACTTAACCATGTCAAACACTGTGCATGAAGGACCAAGCTTTCAGAGCTGTGATAATGCTCTTGAAAATTGATGACAGAGAACGTTAGCTGATATAGTCGGTAATAATACTGTTCCTCCCTTCAAATCCTCCTTGTCGATATGGCTTTTGTATGTCTGCTCTTAGTCATTTTAAATCTTTATTTTGTCCTTCTTGACGATAAATTTCACTAGTTTGTTTGTATTCAAGGGTAACCAATTAATTGTCTCCAGCAACATTTCAATTCTCTAAGATAGAGCTCTTTACGGCCCTATGAAGTTGATGCAATGTGAGATTCTTATTTCTAACGATGAGTGCTGATTCATATATTGTGTCGATATAATCATACTTAGTTCATTATTTATGTCATTTGTTCTTTCTTGTCACTTAGTCAATTATTATGCGTGAAATAGTTATTATTTAAGATATTCTCGTCTTTCTTTTTTGGCTTGTAGTTGATTAGAATGTCCACACATTTATAGCTGCTATTAAAATAATAATCCTTTTGATGTAATTCAAACTTGATGGTTGATATTGGAATAATGAAATTTCCTTTTTTAAGTCCCCATTAGGACTCAATTCATCCCTATTGTTACTAAACGTGAGATTCTCTCTCTCTCTACATATCTTTGGACTACCTCCATTCTAGGCATTCATTTATCTCCTACCCTCAATATATTCTTTTTTTTATTCTAGTTCTTCTTCTATATAATATTCCTTCCTTCTTAGTCATAAAGAAATATTTTAGTCCCTCCTCACTCATTGTCATTAGGTGTAGCTTATTTTACTGCCTATGACAATCTGATCTAGACTAATATATTCTATATCTCTCTTAACTATCTAATTTTTCCGTCCCTGCTCACAAAATCTTTACTTTTCATAGCTTTCCTTCAACTTTGGTTATCTTGTGTAAAATGGTACTATGTTAGGCACACAACTCTGTCAAACTAATATCATGGATTTTACATGCCATTTAATCTTAAGAAGGATTAAAGTTTTGCCTTTGTGCCTCAGTAGCTTACAATTGTTCTATTATTCTCATTGAGTTTATAATTTCACTATTTCTAAATACAGAGGATGAACTACCTAGCTCAAACATGAACCATAGAAGTAATAAATTTTATGCTCCAATATTATTTTCAGGGCCCCACGTAGCTATGCATCAGGAACGGGAGACAAATTCTCATGAGAAACGAAAGAGAAAACTGAAGACTCCGGCACAAATTGAGGCACTAGAGAAATTTTATAATGGTACAGCTTCTTTATTTTTCGTGGTAGAATGCATTGGAGAAAATAAAGGGAATATCCTTAAAAAAATGTCTTTAATACTTTTCTTAATTTATAATATTTTTTTCTTTTTCCAGAGCACAAGTACCCTACCGAGGTAATGAAATTGGAATTTTCTGAGAAAATAGGTCTCTCTGAAAAGCAGGTTTCTGGATGGTTTTGCCACAGAAGACTGAAAGACAAGAAGACTTTGCAAGGAGAAATTTGTACAAATGGAAAACAAAATCTCTCCAGTAGTGCTGTACATGATCGCATTAGTGGGGTTAAACAAGAATCTTGTAGTAGTACCAAACAGGTGGATAGAAACCTTGATTTTAAAGAAGTGGAAAGTAAAATGTATTATGGCTATAGACCTTGTTCTGATGTACTTGCATATGAAACCAGCAATAAACATCCTCGTACTGGAATTGATCATGTTGCAGAAGATAGATCTTCAGGTAGTAGTTCAGCATCTCAAGGTAGCTATTTAGAAAGCCATGAGAACCCTTACGTTGTTCAAGCTTCTGGTTACAAACTTTGTAATGATAGTGGCATCTTGATGAGCAACAAAAACAGAGTCATGAAGAGTAATGAAAATATGGGGAAGCCCAGGCATTCATTTATGCGAGTTGAGAATGATACTCCAGCTATTTCTGAACTTAAGTGGAAACTTGGAAGTCATTATCGTGAAGATGGTCCTCTTCTTGGCTTTGAATTTGATCCCATTCCTCCCGGTGCATTTGACTCGCCAACTCGGGATTCAAAATTCGGTAATACTTGAATTTTTTTTTTTTTTTCTGCTGCAGTATTATATTTTACCTTTTTTTAGGTCTTCTCACACTTATTACATCTTTGTCTTCATTAAAGTTTATCCTCGATTTTTTTGAACTCAATCTTTTGATTTTTCATGGCCTTCCAATGTTTCTTCATGGTGCTTATTAAGGAGCCTCTAGTATAAAAGCAAGAAGTCACTGAATGCTTACCAAAGTTATTATTTTTTGTGAGGGTTTTGTCAAGTCACGGAATGCTTACCAAAGTTGGTATTTTTTGTGAGGCTTTTGTTAAATCCATCATATTCCTTTGGAGCTTCATTAATCTTATACTTAGCATAAAGAAATTTACAGTGTTATATATATAATATATTTTAATAATAAATACAAATTGTTCTTTATGCACCTTATTATACCATATTCCTCTATGAATGGTAGAGGAAAACCACATATCTAAATGTTTATATTTTGTCCTTCCATAGGTGATTAATAAGTGCACATCTTCAAAACAATTGGCAACATGCAGCTTCAATTAGGCTCTACCTGTTACCCTTAAACTCTTCCCTTTTCAACTTTGATCTACATGACAGAAATATCATATTAGTTGTTCTAAGATATTTAGGCTTCACTAAGAACTGCTCGCTAGGAACTTTTAAATTTTTGCACAAGAAAAATTCATTCGAGAGGCCTTGTTTTGCTCATGCACTTAGAAGTATATAGATAAGGTCTTTATTTGTAGCATATGATAGTTATGTCCCAATTATAGCATTTACATGCTTTGTATGATCCTGCTAGTGATGCTTGTTAACTCTGAAATTATAGCATTTACATTCTTTTCATGTACCTGCACTGTCTTCCTTCGTTATACTGTTTTCAAACTTTATAAGGTTTCTGCAAACTAATGTCTAAATTATATGTGCTAATGGATATTTTCTTATCCAACTTATTAGCTGATTATTTTTTTATTTTCAGAACCCTATTATGTTGGAGATACTATGCAACAAGAGGCTTCTAGCTTCTATAGGAGTACCAATGAACATAGGGTAATTCCTTACTTTTAATTTCCATTCTCTACAGGTATTTCCCGTGCATTGTGTGCCCCATTCTTTATTATAATTGCAACTTAAGCATGAACATGCTGGGATCTTGTTTGGCTTAGTTTGTTTATCCAGCTATGTAAGAACCAGCTGTAGTTCGTTAATGAGCTTGTTAAAGGAGGAAAACCTGTATATTTTTAGTAAATGTGTTTGTACCTATATAAGCACAAAAAAGACTCCAAAAAAAGGAAACAAATAGAGATCAATATCTCGAATAATTTGACATAAAAGCATATCTCCTAATATGATACTTGTACTGTCACGGACCAGCTCGATAGCTTAGCGTTAACTAAGTCAAGAACTATGATCGGACGATATTATCATTTCCTTTAACTTTTACTAATTTTCATAAATTCCAACTTATAAAAGAGTCACTGAGAAACCACAAAATACACTACATAAAAATGAAATCATCCAAAATGAACTACATAGTTTACACTAAAACATTTCAAACCAACACACAGTAGTATCATTACTCAGAAGTAAACATTATAATAACTACAACCACAACATAATATCTATCAGTAGTAGTCCTTATCTTATAAACTAAATCTCTCCTCTGAGACATCTCAATCTACAATTTCTCCTGAAATAAACAATTAGATTCAGTAGTAAATTTTCTACCATTTTGCAATTATATTCTTATTATGTATTAAATTAATATGCAAATGCTGTGCATGAATGTTCAAAAGATATGCAATTTATTGATAAATTAAACTATAATCATTTATTTTATTAGTTTAATACTTCATATTTCAATTTAAGTATTTACCTTTTTTAATCTTATAAAAGTTATATCAAGATTATCTTCAGACGCGAAAGTATTCTAAAATTTTAACCATAGGTATCTTCAAAATTTGCACCCGAAGGTGCACCTTTACCATTTTTTTTTTTTTTTTAAAAACGGGTATACCCTCCCAGTGACCATTTGAGAGTAATCCTGAATGACTTAATACATTTCATTTCCTTTAATTACTTTCTTTTAAAGTCATTGTACAATCATTTTCCCTTCTAATCATTTTATTTCATTCATTTCAAATATTCTCCTAACTTTTAACATGCATATAATTAGACAATCATGTGTCTGAAGCAATAAGACAAGTCTTTATTTACTAAAAGATCAATTTAATACATATAAAAAAATAATGACTCACCTGAAGCCTGAATGTCTTTGTGTTTTCCTTGAATTCCTCTTTACAATTCCTTAATTAACGCTCGTTGCACATTTAATCACTGATTTACATATATTATATTAATATATAGTTAATAACATCTTAATTAATTAACAAAACATCTTATATAAGTAAAATATCCAACTTCTTACCTTGTTAAAATTTGCTTGGATCGATATTTATTCCAGCAAAACTTTCCACTTATGATATCTGATTTTTATTCATAAAATTTTAATGTTAATATAATAACATATTTAATTATTTTAATTTATACTATTTAAAACATTAAACCCTTACATAACTTATTATTGCAAAGGCTCAACTTCTTCTTCATGCTAAGGCCACTACTTTTCTCTAATCCTTAGCACTGAGTTGATTGAATAAGGCTTCCTTGCTCGTATATCTTACAAACGCAAAGTCGGAAGCAGCCATGTTGGTCGATTTTCCTCCTTCACACACGCCGACACAATACTCGCACACAATGCATATCTTCCTTTCTCCTTCCTTCGATTAGAGTTCGCACAACACACTTTCCCAAGCTCGACATTGGCGTCAAATGCGAAGCTTCTTGGTTTACACTCCACTTTCGCACAGGAGGCGTGTGTAGCTCAACTCCAAGGTACGACATGCTTCTTCCTCTTCCCTAGGCTGCTAGGCTAGGGTTTCCTCCTCGACTTTGCTCATGAGTCTCATTTGCTTCTCCCTCTTCTTCCTTCTCCTTTCTTGCCAGGTCAAGGCATGATTCCTCCTTATTGTCATTCCTTCTCCCTTCTTCATAGACTACCGCTCACTCTCTCAATTTTTTTTGGTTTAAATGGGGACAAACGATACATAAGTTCAATTGTAACGACGTCTATCACACTATCATTTCAGTTATTACTATTACTATTTATTTATTTATTTTATCTTATTTCCTTAAAATTTTAATTAGTGCAATATATCACAAGATAGTTATCTAAGTAATGCATTAACACTCCCTTATATATATACATATATATATATATATATATATATATTATCTGTGTGTGTGTGTGTGTGTGTGTGTTTGCTCTGCTAGGGTTTCGAATGTGATTTCCGTCGCTATTGATTCTGTCGCTTGAAGTACACCCGTCTCTGTTGTAGACATTTCTGCTTTGTCGGCTTCCGTCCTTCTGCGACGCCGACGGTTCGTCTGCGGAGACAACGCGTTTGCAACTGCGCTTTTAATTTCGACGCAGCGTCCAACTGGTCCAGCCGTTCGCGTCTGCGCAGTTTCCCTGCATGACAACTTCGGTTCGCGTTTCTGTTTGACGAGAGGCATTTGCGTCTGCTTGAACCTGAGTCTCGTTCGTCGACAACAGTCGGCATGCTGCATCAGCTGCTCCTGATGTGCTTGTGTGAAGCACTTTAATTGCCTTAGGACTTTCCTACGCTGCCGCCCTCGCTGGTGATAATCCCCCCAAACCCCCCGATGCTACATTGGTTCATAAATGCAGCTTATTTTTCATCTTGTAGATAGTCCGTTGTTCCTGCAGATGTACCATGATTCTATTGCAGGAAATGGAGATTAAAATCTCATAAAAAAATAGAGAAAAAGTCAGGTAAACCAGCACTGTTCTTCTTTGACGCTGAAATTTCAACTCGTGCAGGAAAATACAATTTTTTTCTAGTTGAAAAGTTCTAATTAGGTAGCCCTAAGATGGAGATTATCAGGAACGTTTTTGAAGATTTCAAACTAGTTGGGGCTTGACAGGTGAGTTTTTTCTACGGAAGACATGTTATGATACAGCTGAGCATAGAAGAAGATTACACAAGGATTTTCTTAAAGAAATTCATCACAATCGAGCATCACAATCGAGGGGAAATTCATCACAATCGAGGGAAATCATATGAAATTGCTAAATTTGACCTCTGATTTTGATCCCAGTCAAGAACCGCATTACGTTTATCTGATTCTCATTACCTGAACTCAAGCTTTAATTCTTTGACCTATCTATCTTATATGCAATTGGGACTATCCTTGGAAAATCTTTGTAGGTAGACACATCTACAATTCATTTCTCAATGCTCTCTATTGCAAGGATTTTGATTAAAAGGGATATTACACTACCAGATGTAGAAGAAGTCTGACTTGGCTCTGCTCACAATGGTTATTGACAAAAAATCATTATGGAACAAAAGCCTTACTACTGCAAGCACTGCAAGATGTTTGGACACCCGCAAGAGAAATTTTTCAGATTGCACCCACAGTTGAGAACCAATAGTCAAAAGTAGGAACATACTGTTAGTACACCCCACATGCCTGAACGCGCTCCCAACAAAACTGATGACAGCCAACCTGAGGAGAGAATTACCACAAGACAGGAAATGGTGTCTGCCCCGGAGAACCCTTCTTCTGACCATACTATATGGGATATTATTCAGACCGAAAGTCAGGATAGCCTTGCAGCTCCTATTCAAAATGCATCAGGTGCAGAAGTGACAATTCACACTTCACATACACTGGAAACCTATCATTGTGGCAACGACTGCCTTTTCTTCTACTGCGGTTCTAATATCTAATTAGATCGAGGATCACATGAGTCAGGTCTTCAGATGAAAAATGACAGGTTTACACTTCTCGGCTGAAGAAGAAGGCTGGGGGCGCACTCCAACTTAGAAATTTAATATATGATACTTTGGTTACTCCTGACAATGACACGACACTTCAAAGTTTGTTATCTGGCTCCGCTCCTAAAACTAGAGGAAGAGACATGACTAAATTGACTCGTTTCTAGCTATTTGTTTTCTGCATGTTTTAAATTTTTTGGTATATCTGTATTCTTTTGTTGAGGTAGTACTGTACTTGGTATCGTATGAGTAGGGTTCCTCTATTGGGCCCTCTCATACAATCTTTATGTATCTTTTCTATTTCAATAAAATCAGCCATTGGGTTTATATATATATATATATATTATTCAAGCTTTTATAAGTTTTTAATGAGAAAAAGGTAGGTAGTTTAAAGCTTTAGTAAAGATAGTCGCGTTCTAAATTGAAAATAGGAATATTTTTTTGGGACAACAAAACATTCCAAATGAAGTAATCTACTTCAATATGTTTTAATACATTCATAGAAAATAAAACTATTAGTAATTTATTGGGCAAGATGATTGTTGTAATACAAATGTCATAAGTTGGGTTATGAGAAAATCACTCTTAAAGAGTCCGCAACTCTTTTTTTTTTTGTCCTCATCAAAATGGTTTATAGACTTTATAAAGTTCAGCTTCTCATATTTGGCAGCCCTGACCAACAGTTCTTGGAATGTAGTGATAGAAGTCTTGCATAAGTAGGGTACCATCTTATCATTGATATTGCCCATTAATAATTGGATTATATGCTCCTCTTCTAACTGTTGTTTGTATTTTATGCTTAGGTTACGCCAACGGTGATATATTGTCATGGGCTCACCTTTCTTTTCTTTTTTTCTAGAGCCAGATCAACAATAGATGTCATTGTTTCGAGCTCTGTGAAAATTTTTACAGATTCATCGGGTAACTCTGCATACCATTCAAAAGCAGTTTTTATCAAACTATTAAAGAACTAGCGAAATAATAATGCATATGTGCCACGTGTTGTTGCATGATGCTCTGAACTGGAATGGTTGTTGCTTAGGATTACCATTACCATTGAAAGTATTAAACTTCGGTATTAAATAGCCCTTTGGATGTGAGACTTGATCATATTCGGCTAGAAAATGACGGTCTTTACCCACCAGTTTCTCAATTTATTCTGAGGCTATAACAACCTTGATCTTTTCATCAATAATACTTTCCAACTTAGTTATTACTTCTTCATCATCATTTTGAACAACTTGAGAAGTTGGTTGCAGTAATACGAAAATTGATTCAACTCTTTTTTCAGACAACCCGTACTCTCGATGTTTGAGGTATTGGAGGGTTATTAGGAATTGTTGGATGCTTGATTATTGGCAAGCGGAATAGGAACCATGCCTACTATAGTATTCTTTTACCATATCTTCATCATAATATTTATTTGTGTCATCATCTCATTCATCTTGATGCTAAGTTGAGAAGTTTCTGTCTTTAGCCTTAGGGCCTGTTTGGGGCAGCTTATTGCCTGCGGCGGTATTTTCAAAACGCCGTCGTCCCATTTGGTTGAAGCTTTTACACCGCGGTCCACGAAACTCCATTTTCATTTTGTGAATAACGCGGACCGTGGGATGACCCCTGCAGTCTGCGTTCATTCGCTGATTATTACCATTTACCCTTGCGCGATTCTGGTTCACCTGAACTTGTCTCCTCTGCCCTAGTGAGATCCTCATCTCTCGATCGTTTAGGAAGGCACGACGGAATGGCGGGATACGGAGACCTTCGCCAGCTCACCGAAGCCGTTGCCTACCTTCAAGATGCAATCACAATTAGAACCAGCAAGAAATTAACGATGGAGTGGCGACATACAAAGCTATCTGAACTCCCATTTTTCTCCAACCTCTTTATGTCTTCCTCTCACCGGATCTCCAACTGACAGGCAACGACAGGATCGTGGTAGGATCGCCAGCATACAGAGACCCTCACATCTTCTAACTTCCCATTTCACGCTCGTCATCACAGCATACATAGGCGGTTTATATGCCAGGTGCGCCGGTTGAATGAGAAACGGTCTATTATCATTGTTATGATGGATCGAGTGGAGCAAGATCCATATGGGACATCTCAGCGGGTTTGCTTCCGTGAAGGCAGAGGATGGTGAGGTTTGGTCTTTTACTGTCACAGCTTTAAAAGCATCATCTCCCAGAAAACTCTATTAATGTGAATTATGATGGTTTTGTTGCAGATGTTATTAGAGTTGGCTATGAACATCTCCGGGACATCTCCGGGATGGTGGAACGGGATTTTAGGTGATAGAAAAATTTGGTGCAAATACACCGATCTAAGATTGCTATTGCTTAAGACCAAAATCTTATTTTTGGCGAGATGATAGTCTAGTTATGAGTGTGACGCCATGCTCCCTATCATTTTCTCAAAGGTAAATGGAAGATCACGTTCGTCATATAGACTGCAATGTAGTGAGATATTAATCAGAGTGTCTTATAGAATAGTTCATATGTATGCTATGTTCAATACACGTCAACTTATTTCTTATAGAATCATCATCATTATCCTTGTCCCAATGATGCATGTTGATTGTTACTATCCTAGATTACTAATTAGATCCATTTACAGCATATTGAAGCTACATTTACAAAAGAGAAAAAGGCTAGGTGTGGAAAGGTTTCCACTTCCATAGAAATTAGAATATCATAATTCACTTATCTAGTTTCATCAGTCACTAATGTAAAGTGTTGACCTACTAATCAGATGAGTCTAGAAGCAATTTCTCAACTATCAGATTTGTAGCCGTTAAAGTTCTAGTGTAGACATCAATACTGTGTCTGTTTGAATAGTCTTTTATATATCAAAAGCTGCAAATCAGCTGTTTACAACACACAAATCAAACAGCTAAAAAACTTATCTAAAATAGGGGCAGAATGATTATTTATCCATAATCAGTTGTTTTCCAAACTCACAGACCAAACAGACAGACAGCTTATCCGGATCAGCTACTTATCACTAGCTTATCCAGATAAGCAGCTTATCTGGATAAGCTGGATGAGCTGCAACTGCCCCAAACATACCCTTAATCAAACGTCGCACATATTTTTGTTTTCTAGCTAAAGCAATAATACCAATGAGAACAGACTCTTCATCATCTCCTAGTTATTCTATTAGCTCATTTTCTGATAAAAAACTAACATGCTCTTCTTGTCTTTCCAACTAGGTAGTGGATTGAATTGTCGAATGCTTGCATTGACAAAAGTGAGTACCAGGTTGGTCATTGACATAATCTATTATATAAATCACCTCTACTTTCATCGTCATTGTTATCTTCTTGCACTCTCATTTATGAGTGAAGCTTCCAATGAATGTTAGGTTTAAACTATATGACAAAGATTCCTCAATTATAGAACTTTGATTGAGATTGATTTCTTCCTTAGGAGAAGTTGATTGCCGATGGGATTTCTTGGAAGATTCTCCAAGGTTTTGACCCCCATGACTTCCATCAATTTGAGATTTCTTCTTCACAACCTATTCTTGATATATGACGAATCTTTGGAATCTACCTTAGTTGACAAAATATTTTATTTCAATCAATTGTACTCTTATAATTCACGACTCAAATGGTAGAAAGTTTTTGGGGAACATACGAGCTGTGATTATGACCATAATATAATATTTTCGTTTGGTGGAAACCACTAGGTCAGAGTGCTCTGGTCGTAACCAATATTTGTGGTGTCTTTTGGTGGCAAAATCATGCAGATAACAAACTCGGGTCACATTCTTATTATCTTGCAATTGCTTTGATTGTGAATATATTGATACTCTCGATATATCATTCGTTTTTTGTGAGGAGAGGGGAGCAACTTTTATCAATAGTTTGTTGGGGGGAGGGGAGCAACTTTTATCAATAGCTAATATGGTTCTTGGGGCAGAGTGACGACTCATGATATGACAGGATGTAGAAATAGTTGAGGTTTATATATTTACAGGTGACATTGCTATAATGTGAGGACATTATTATGATGACATTGCTATGATTACATTATTATGAACATGCTTATGGTTACATGCATATGACTATATATGTTTTATTCAGCAGTCATAATTTTTTATGCTACCTATTTCTTTTTCATGTTTTATACGATTCTAACATATTTTGACTTGTGTGTAGATATGTAAAGTTTCATTTGAGTATGCACCTTTCTTATTCGTGTATAAAATTTTATTTTAGCCTTGATTATTTTATTGTACACTTTGTTGCTTCATCTATTTTTTTTTTATTTAGGAAGGGGCAAGGAGCACTGGGCTGAGTAGCCAGGTGTGACTTTTATAGTTTTTACACCTATTGTTTTGAGAGCTTGTACAATCTTTTTTGTATGTATTTTTTTATATTGAATTTAACAACTCTATATAGTTTATATGTTTTGGTGATATAATTTTTCACGCTTTTGAGTATGTATATAAATGAATTATGAAATACAATGTATCACTTATGTTTGTGACAATTTAATTAAACTAATTCATCACACATTTGTTATTTGTTTTGCAAGTCAAGGCAAGTGTTGGTAAGAATTTATTTTTGCTGAATTGTCTGTCTTTGTCACACCTTAACCGACTCCTAAAGTGGAGTCAGTTGGGGTGTAACATCGGGGGCATGGCTTTTGATGCAGCGAACCAGTGAAGAAGAGGAAATCGGTTCTAGTGTGTGGGGTAGGGCAAAGTGAGTTGGATCACATGTGTGATAGGAAGAAAGCGGCGAAGGCATCGCCTCTATCATGTTGAACGACGAGGGAGTAACAACGAAGGTGATGAGGGCTTCGACTATGTTGTGCGGATTTCGAACTGGAGAAAGAGAAAGAATGGAGTTTCAGATGTCCTCACACGCCCAACTATATTGTTCTCTTCATTGTGTCTAAAGAGATGAAAAGACTTGTGTGTGATAGAGAAAGGATGGGTCATACAGCTTCTCTGTCGTGTGCGATTTGGAAGCGAGGAAGTGTAAAGGCTGCGACAATCGAGAGGAAGAACGAAGGTGAGGGCTTAAGAGAATTCGTGTGAACAAGAACAGTGGATACATATGAAGGAACAACAGAGACTTGCGGTTTTATCGTGCACAATGACGAGGGAGAGGGCTTCGGTGTGAAAAGGAGAGAAACTGAGAGGAATTATGATTGCGAAGGATGATCGAGTGAGGGGAACTGTCCAACTAAGAGTGCGTTTGGGGCGGCAGTGTGGTGCTGCACCACATTTTTTTGTTTGTCAAAATTATGTTTTTTTCTGGGTTCTCAAAAAATTGCAGCTAAAAGCTGTGTTTTCCCATCATACCTGCTACCTGTGATGCATGCTAGAAAGCTACGATCTGACTTTTTCAGAAAAAAATAAATTATAATAGCCACCGTAAGTTGCGTGACAATCACAACTTTAACTAATCTGATAGAACTGTATTGAAGCGCTTGACAGAACCCATGTGGATGCACGAGTTTCCAACATTGAAAAGGTCATATACATTGGACAGTGTGGATCACCCACACAAAATGTGATGGTTGTATGTGACTTCAACATGCGTTTTACATTTATGATGACTGGTTAGGAAGACAATGCACATAATAATCTTATTTTTGTTTTTGCGATAAAAAATCAAGACGCGGCTTCCCGCACCCACCTCCAGGTTCGTAAAGATATCAACCACAATCGTTTTTCTTTAGTTTATTACTAATTATGGTATTTGGAACAGGTAAATATTACTAAGTCGATGTTGGATATCTTTTATAAATGGGGTATCTGAAGCCATTTCCAGATATGAATTATCACATTTGTGATTTCGAAAGAACTAGCAGTGTTGCTCGTGGCAGGAAGAAAATGTTTACAAAAGACACTCCTTACGTGGCGTAATTGAAAGAACGTTTCGATTGTGGAAGAAGAAATGAGTCTTACTGTGTGATATGCCGCGTATCAATTTCCAAAATATGTGCAGATTGTAGTGGTCATGATGGCGCTCTACATCTACATTCAACAACATCATTCTCGAGCTGATATAGACTTTAGCATGGCTTACGATGACCACTAACAGGTCCCACCATAAGCTTTTGAATATCATGTAAGAAAAACTATACCACAACCAGAAGTGAAATCACAAGAAGGCTACTCCCAAGATGATGGTGTCGCAGAAATGACTGATTTGAGAGAGCGAATTATAGACACCATTGTTGGATGTTGATTATATGACTCTTGTTTATTTTATAAAGTCTATGTTTATTTTATGTCATTTGTATTATTGATATTTTAGATATTGAAAGTTTTATGTTGTTTGTAATTATTTTTTCTTCCTTTTTTATTCTTTTTCGTACTTTTTTTTTGTGATTTTGTGATGTTCATGATGAAACGTTCGCCTGTGGGTTCTACTGGATGGCCTAGTAGTCACTGCAAGTTAGTCTCAAATGTGAAATCTTGTGAAATCAAGTTCCTCTTTTTTTTCGGTACTGGGGTTTCTGAGATACTTCTGGATGATCTGTTTAGTCAATGTTAGTGTCACATGTGAAATTCTGATAAAAGCAACAAAGTTCCTTTGTTCTTTTTGATGCTTGGATTTTTTAGATACTTCTGGGCGACCTTTTTTTTGGTGATATGCATATATGACATACAAGTTTGGTATTAAATGAGTTAAAGTCAACCAAGAACCTTTATTTTATAAGATTTATTGTCTTCTTGTTATGCACGTTCGATGGGGTTGGTGTACTTAGCTTTTTGAGACCTCGCGCCCGCACAAACCGTAATTGATTACTGTTTTTGTCAATTTATAAAGTGCATGTTTATTTTATGTTCCATTTATTATTGACATTTTAGATATTGTAAGTTTTATGTTGTTTGTAATTGTTTTCTCTATTTTCGATTCCTTTCCGTTTTTTTTTCTTTTTGTGAGTTGTGAGGTCCATAATGAGACTTTCGACCTTATGGGTTCTCCTGGATGGTATGTTAGTCACTGTTGGTTGGTGTCACATGTGATGCATATGTGACACACGAGATTGGTATTAAGTGAGCTACAAACAACCAAGAACCTTTATTTTACAAGGTCTATCGTCTTCTTGTAGTGACAGATTCGTTGGTTGGTATACTGAGTTCTCTGAGATTTCGAGCTTGCAGAAAACTATAATTAATTACTTCTCTTAAGAATTTCAACTTCTATTACGTCTAATGGATAGTCTTTCGAATTATTCAGGAAAGATGAATTTCATGATTTCAGGGATCTCCCGACGAGTGTTCTGCCACCGCGGACTACAAACTTCCCTACTGACGTCACGTCGGGCGGGCACATAGCTATGAGAGAAAGTTCTACAGGTGTCTGCAGTGGGCAGACAATCCTGAGAAGTGTGACTTCTTCCGGTGGACAGACAGTCTGACAGATTTCACTGTCGATAGTGATCAGGGTTGGATGGTATCCTTAGAGGACGACGTAGCTCATGACATACACTGTCTGGATTTTAATATTAATATTATCATATTTTCTTGTTGTAATTTTAATATTTTTTCCCTTTTTTAAGTACACTTAATACTTACTGTTATGTGAGGTGTGTATTATATTTATTTTGCTGTTCTGAAGTGTTTTTTTGCTTCTCAATTATTGATATAATGTTATGCAGTTCTGTTGCAAATAACATTACTGCACAGAAGCAGAATGATTATTTATCCAGAAACAGCTGGAAAAAACAGTCAGCAAATTACCTTGATCAATTGCTTATCAACATCTTATTAATAACTTGTAACTGCCCCAAATAGACCCTAAAATAGAGGCTGGTGTGGAGGGAATTAAAAGCTGACGACTCATAGAATATGTGAAAATTTTGCAATATTGGGAATGGTGAAATCTCGTCATCTATGATTATCATAGCCTCTGAAGTGGAGAAAGCCATGAGAGAAACTTGGCAATAAGAAATTTACCATTCTGTTATCTCAAAATGGTTGAATCAATTGTATAGTGTTGACATTGAAGAAGCTCCCCACTTACCCTGTAGGCTATTGTAGTATTCTTGGATTGGAAGATTATTTGTTATAAAGAAAATAAGTTTGGGTTTTGAGTATATAATATGGATGTATTGCTTTTCTAAAGAATAAGTGGAGCATAGAAACTCTCATATTGCTTTAATCATTTCTTAAGATATGATGGTGGAGCAAATGAAATTTCATTACTTTTAAACATCCATGTAAAAACTATGTAATAATATAGTTTTCATTTAGAGAATTTGGTGGTGTTTCTTCAAGCTTGAGGGGGAATGTTGGATCTAATTTTAACGTCAAAACTGATAAGAAACTGGAAGCCCTTGAGTAAAGAAGATACTTCTTATTTTTAAAATTGATTTCTGTACTAATTATAGAAGTGTTTTGTGTCAGTAAAAGAAAGTTGAGAATCCATGACTTCATGAAGAAGATGATGCGGAGAAGATTGATGTTTGAAGTCATGCCTTGGCGTGGGCAGAAGAGGGCATGGCATGGGTAGAGAGCATCTTGGCATGTAAATAAATTCTATGAGTCGTTGGCTGCTGAAAAAGATGGCCGTGCAAGTTTGGTTTCAATATGCGTGCACCTAAAGAACAATGTAAGCGGAAGCAGGACGGGCATGAAAAGCTTAGTGTTAAAGGTAAAAGTTAAGAGTAGCTTCACTAGTGCTAGAAAGGTGGTGGGTTCCCAGTTTCAGGTAATTCAGCTGGCTGCGTGACGAGTTTGAGTGCACGAGAGTTGTGCTAACGTCACTCGAGGGTGTAAAAGACTAGAGGCATGAGCGACAAGCAAGAAGGGTAGTGTGGATTGCGGGTACGGACTATGTAGTATTAGCAGGGCCGTGTTTGTGGGCAAGTGCAAGTAGTAAACAAATAAAAGAGAGTGATATTCCCATTAATGTGACATAAAAATATCTCTCCTACTATGATTTATATAATTTACAATATGATTACCTACATAATTCATCAACAATACTGTTGCAAAATCATCTTCATTTTTGTTGGTTTATTCTTTTGTCAAACATCAACTAAACATTAGCAATAAGATAAATGCATCGACTATTTTTACTTAACGGTTGTGATTGCATGAAAAATGTTTGTGATTTTTGTTTAACTTCTTTGATCGTCTTTCAATAGTAAAATAAAAATAATAATAATAATGCAATTAAGATTCATATTGAGCTCTTGTGAGTCAAAAGTTCAGCTCGTTTGCTAAACAAGCCGAATATAGTTTTTTTTTTACAATCTCAGTGGGTCGGTGGAGATATTACTTACTAGCTGAACAAAATGCATCTTACTATGCTGTAATAAAGTTGCTGTTAAAATTGGTTAATCTGATGCAATGTAGTATTTACCTGGACAATTAAAGATATTTTACAAGTGCTCTTCTGGTGGCTTACTATGTAAAATTAACAGCACAGAACCAAATTGTGTGTTATTTGAAAGGACCAATCGCCTACTCACTTTTGGTATTAAAAACTTCCAGATAATACTATGAATTAATTTACATGTATTTTTAAGATATAATGTGGATTACTCCTTTCAGTTGCATTTACTACAACTTCATGCCTGTTTTTGTTAAAGTTTGTACCAATTAAGTCTTATGTTGTATTCATTTTTATTTTTATTATTTTGCTGATGTGTTCTATGTTAGACTACAGTGCTGGGGGACTAAGGATGCTTTGTAATATTTTTCACTTATTTCAGATGTATGATAAATACAATAATGTGAAGTCTGGCTGCAAAGCTTATCAAGAACAAAGAAGCTCCAAAAGAGCAAAGCCAGGATTCATTGATTTTAATGAAATCAACAACTTGCAGGCAACACAGAACGCTATCTCCAATCATGTTCAATATCAGGTCAATGCCATGGATGAAACTGAGAAATCTATGAATCATACTTCTTGTTTCAATGTCAGAAATAATTTGAGATGCTTCAAGGAAAAAACAGAGGGGAGATATGATAGTAGAGATGGCCACAATCTCCATCGAAATTTTTGGAACTCCAATCAAAATCATTCCGCGTGTAAACCAGATATGGTTATAAATAAAGTGAGTAAAGTGTGAGAAAATCCTCAATTTATATTCTTTGTCATCTGTTCTGATCTGCCATTGCTGTGCAGACTGCTAGGAAAGTGAACGGTGTAGAACTGTGGCAGCAACAGTGTGCCGTTAAAGTTTTAGAGAAGCCTGCACGTCAGGTACCATTTAAAAGGTGTGTTTTTTTATTTTGATCTTCAATTTATTTTATGATCTATTTTTTATCGTATTTTCCTACCATGATTGATATTTATGAGATTGATCTTAGTCTAAAATGTGCATTATTCAAACTTATGATCAATACTTGGTTTTTCTTGCTACATTATATGAATCTCCCACCATTTTCTAATGCTCACAGGATTTAAGAAGGATTTAACCAATAACCGGACCTAATTGCAAAATGGCAACATTCAATCTTCCCTTCTTCCTCCATTTTGCCCTATATCCTGGATTTAATAAATTTTGTCGGAAGGCAAAATTATGAGATTTACACGAACAGAAGCATAAATCTCATGAATAAATTAAAATGGCACCTGACAAAATATCAGAGATCATTTTGACACTTTTTTTTCTTTCAAGGATAATTTTAAAAAAGGAGCATTTACGTAGATACCACCAAATTCTTTTTAATTTACATATCTAACACCTAAATTTTACCTTTTATATTCATACCAAATCTTTCATATGGCATCAAAATCTACTATTTAAAATTTTACAAAGTGAAATACACCTTTCCATTCATAGGCAAAGTGGCATATATGTAAAAACTGATTTTTAAGTGTTATATATATATATATATTAAAAGGAATGGTCGGAGGCTATTATACGAGCCCTGACCATCCCTCATGCGCCTAAGAATTCGAGTACCACACCCTACACTCAGGGGGAATTGAACCCCTGACTAGAGGAAACTTATAACTGACAAGTAGATCCCGACCAACTGATCTGAGTACGCAGCACACTTAACATTGCAAGGCTTTGCGATGCAGGCATCATTTGGACATGGAATCCAATCTCCAACGAGATGTTTCAGGAGGCACCTCCTCATCCTTGGACTGAGTGAGAAATTATTCACGGGATTCCCAATGAAGCTTTCGGTGACTTCGAAATCCAAGGTGTGTACAGTCAGACGCATCTTACCCCCTTCATGTGCCCCATGGCGCATCAACCAACTAACAATTAACAGAAATATATATATATATATATATATATATATATATATATATGCTGCTTTTGGACAGTTGCAGCCACTGTTGTATAGAGGTTCTCTCTCTCTCTCTCTTTCTCTCTCTGTGTATTTGTGTATGTTGCTTTTATCACATATGTTGATGGATGTTTGGGTGTTTTAGAGTCTTGTAAAGGAGTTTGCAAACCTTTTGGCTCTTGTAAAATGTTTAGGTGCGTCTGAAATTTGCATTGCTGAATATGGCCCTGTATAATTTGTTTGCCAGTACAATTGCAAGGAGGAATCTTCAAGCCAAACAATTAAATAATTATAATTCTTGTATTTTTATTGTTTTTTTAATGCTTGCATTCACATAAACACTTGATAACTTGAAATGAATATTTTAATTTTGAGGCATTTAAATTCTAAGTATTATTTAATATTATTGATAGAATAAATCAAATTTTTTTTTTATATAAACTCTTACAAAACGTATTTCATGAGTTAAATTTATTAGAAAAAAATAGAATCTTAATATTATTTGTTGATAATATAATTTTAAAGGCTATTTTAATATGATTTAAATTTTTAATAATTTTAACTGTATTAATAATTGATGAATAAATAGGGCCTACAAACACCAGTCTTACTCTTGTTAAATCTCTCTTGTTTATTAATCATTAAATCAAATGAAAATAGCATTTTTAAATATTATTATCAATTAATATCAGTTAATAAGAATAAATTGATTTTTAAATAGTTTATTCGTTTTAAATTTACTTGATCTTTTTATGGAAAAACTGTCAACTAATGATTTTTAAACATTTATTAAATCATTATTTAAATGATTATTAATTAATAATTTACTAAGTTAATCTCATAAAACAACTCTTTTGTGAAGATTGAGGACCGCACATAACACTAAATTGATAGAAGGGATGATTACAAAAAATTGAAATAAAAAAAAAATTTAGAGAAACACAACAAATTATAAGTGAAAGTATGTTGAAAAGAGAATCGAGAAACATAGACTGAATGTTGCATACTGATAATCCTTGCGGTTGGTCATCCAAACGGACTTCGTTCAGGGTTAACGAATTCATATCTCAGCTATATCAACAAAACAACAAAGGACCTAAGGGCCTTAGTTGAAGCGAACATCATTTGTATATAGTAGCAATGCCAGTAAACATAAAGCTTTTACATAGCAAATAGATTGATATTCCCAAACTGTAAATATATAGTTCAGTTCTGTGAAAAAAAGTATATCTAGTCGTTTATAACAGAGGGTAATAGTAAGTTTGACGGGCACAAGAAAAATCTACTAAAAAAAAGTAGTCGGAGCATTTTATACAGGCATCCACAGCAGTAAAAATCCGTTATGTTCTCTGCAATGAATTTTAAATTTCTGTAATTGCTAGCACTGCAAAGATTTTTAGCAGTGATTAAATAAGCACTGTCAAAAGAGAAATTTCTTTTAGTATATCCAACAAATTAATTTAAGCAATACAAAATCAGTAAAAGCTTAGAATCTAACGACAAGTTGCAAATATGATCAGTCCCAAATAGTAATATATGAACATCATCATAAGCTCCAACAAAACTATGAAAGCCAACAACGCGAGGAATTAGCCCCATCCTCTTACATATAATAATTATTAAGAGCGTTTTTGTAGTTACTAGACATTTCTTATGTACTTATACATCTAACATTCAGTTGGATATTTACATTTATCACACCTCACCTCACCTCACCCTGGTGTTATAATTCTATGTATGAAAATATGTAGTTCATTTTTTAAGAGATGATGATAATGATATTTTTAGATTTTAAAGTTGTGCATTTACATATGAATGGTTAGATGTTAGATATTAAATACAAAAGAATTATACGGTTGTATGCAATTGCCCGAACCCTCTTTCCAAAGTAGCGACCAAATATTGCTGCCATCGAAGATAACCTCCATCCTATGTTGCTGTTGTCTTTGTTATATATATATATATA